TACCGGAAGTGACGTCTATTGATAGCAACCTATTAATTAGAGAGTGTATAACTTAGAGATCACGTGGTCTGACAGTAAAAGTTAACACGACCGATTCAGTTAAGGTTGAAAGTATGGAAGCTGTTGCGTTGCACGACTTTACTCCAAGTAGTAGTAATGAAGATGAGCTACCTTTTAAAAAAGGTTCAATACTGAAGGTGAAGTTAAATTTACTTCTAGTAAAATCGGTTCTGCGCCGTTATCTGTTTCATAATTATACAGATTCAATATATCTTATTCATCTTGACATATCTTATTTATCTTTACACCAAAAAAACTAAAGTTGGAAACTAGTATTTTGCAATGACATACGCATGCAATTGCTAAGTAGGCTAGCGCTATTTTATTACATTGCGTCGTCAAGAGTCGTCAGTATAGTCATAGATGTTTGGAAAGCTTTGAAATCGCCTATTGTCAAGTCACCAGTTTAGTAATAGATAGATACTGTATGACAGTTGTGGTCTTAAATATTGGCTTTTCAGACGAACGGACTGTCTGCCTAGTCTAATGTTTTGCTCAGTTTCTCTTTAAAATCCATCATAAGATTATGCAAATCAAAATTTATCCATGGTTATGATTTTTATTGTTTTTTTTCTCGTGGATTATCTTTTGTTTTGTTTTTGTTCCCTTGAGTATTCTCACAAAAGCAATTATATTTTATTGCAAAGACATGTATTTGCCGTTCACGAGGTTGAGGAAAAGACTGGGTCGAGTCGGCATTACGGTTCATTGTGGGACTATTTTAGGGGACTATTTCCAAGACGGCGTCTATTTCGTCCCTTGAAACAATCCCAAAATGAGTGCAAAGTTTTGTAGGTCTACCGGCGGTTTACTGAGGTTTACTTAACTTACTAATTTGTGCAATATATTACAAAGTGTTTCACGGATATATTTGGTGTGCACTGTACTTATGTATGCAAATTTGTGCAATTTCTTACTAAGTTTTTCACGGGATATGGTATGCACTGCACTGAACGACTGAATATTTTTTGAGAACAAATTTGCAAGAACCTTTATGTGAGTGACAAGTAAAAGGGTGATGCTTTTAAAATACAGGATCCGGTTGTACGAATGCTGGATAGCGCTATCCGGCGGATAAATCCTTGTCCATTGGATAAGTCGATGATGTTATTCAATAATTTATCCACTGGATAAGGATTTATCCTTCAGATAGCGCTATCCAGGCTTCTTACAACCGGGCCCTGTATTCCAAAGTGTTGCCTCATGTTTAACCGTCATAGTCATTAACATATGGAAATATAAACTTTCATAACTTAAAGACCCATCACTTAAATGACGAAATACTTTCACAATTTACTATCTAAAGAATTAATTCTTTTTAAAATACTGTATGAAGGCTTATAGGCACTTTCTATTCATGTGAATCAGGTATTGAACATGACTGATGACAAAAATTGGTATAAGTCTGAACAAAATGGCAAAGAAGGCTTTGCACCCAAAAACTACATCCAAATGAAACCACATGGGTAAGCGATGACAAAAACTGCAGTTTTTTTATAAGTTCTGCAGACTTCTGCAGTTTTTATGTAGTGCACAACGTTTATCCCTGTACCCATTCTTGGGGTGCATTTTAGGCTCAGGTCAAACGTCAAACATCAAACATGCTTTTACGAATGAAATATATTTAATAATTTAATAAATTTAATAATAAAATTTGTGGCGACAAGTTTATTCCTATTTTCTCATCGTTTCGACGGCATCAGGCATCGTTCTCTGTAGCCTGCAGAGCAGGCGTTCTTTTGATGGGTTTGAGAGGAAGAATCGGGGTTTTGGGGTTCCTGTTTGGACCAAGGGCCCGCGAAAAAATGGGACCTAGCAAAAAAAGGGCCCCCTCCCCCTTCGCTTCTTTTTTGCTCGGTTTCAATTTTCGCTCGTTCCAAAGCTCCCCCAAAACCCCGTTTTTTCCCCAAACCCACAAGAACGCCAGGCTACGTTCTCTGGAGTGAAGAGATCAATTGAATTGCGAATACTTATAGCAATGTAGGAAACTTGTGGCCACAAATTTTATGATTAAAACTTTATAAACGAAATGTCTAGTTAATAAATTCAATAATAATAATTAAAACCTTGCCCCAGTCTCTCTTAGTTTCTCTGTCACTCCCGATCCAACATTGAATGCTGATAATTGTATTTTTAGCTGGTATTATGGAAAGATACGCAGATCTGAGGCTGAATGTCTACTCCTGCAGGAAGAGCATAATGGGGCATTTCTTATCCGAGACAGTGAGAGTACTGCAGGTAAAATAGTGTTGTAATGACAAATGGATTGAAATGCGTAAAGCCGCAAAAAAAACAAGCACATGTATTGCACATGAAATAATCTATTATTGTTTTTGTTTTGAAATTAATTCAGTGCAACTATTTTACTTGTAGGTGATTTTACACTATCAGTAAAGTGAGTACCAAGTAATAATTCATGTATAAATTACACGTGGCTCGGATGATCACGTTAATGGTGGTCCCGTCCCTAATTAACTAGAGACGTTAACAGAGGACCACGAGTTTATCAGTTGAATTACTATCAAGTGTTATCCTCTATAAACAAAGTTAATTTATTTATTTTATTTGTTTATTAAAAGAAAACGTTCAGCAGGCGTTCACTCGGGCTAACCGTGATCCACATCTCATACTAAATAGAGGCGTAGGTAGGCAGGGGGTTGGGGGGCAAGGGGACCAGGCCCTTCCCCTTCGTGGCAACAAAATGGCGGTTTTTTAAATTTGAGCCTCCCCGTACGCCCTTGGGAAAATTTTGGCTACGCACCTGCTAAACTAGAACTCATTTTTGCCAAATTTTGAAGTAAAACGTTTTGAAAACTTAGTGAAGAACAGTTAGCGATTTGTTCGCTCGTTTCGTCCGCTTTTATTCATTTGTTTGTTTCATTTGGCAAATGTCACATTTTCAGCCTTCGCTTCCAAAATTGTTCACATCTTTAATTGATGAATTCGTCGTCGGGTTTATTCTTAGGTTTAATAACAATGTACAACACTTTAAAGTCCTTCGAGATGGAGCTGGGAAATACTTCTTATGGGTGGTTAAGTTTAATTCCCTCAACCAGTTGGTGGAATACCATAGAGCAGCGTCTGTATCCAGATCTCAGACCATTTATTTGAAGGATATGCAAAACGCATACGAGGTACAGTATCTAAAATGTACATGCAGCTATTTCAGAAAGAATGTCCTATATAAGGCGGACACCTCTCCAAGGCCAACACCCCTGTAAGGCGGTCACCTCTCTAAGGCCAACACCCCTGTAAGGCGGGTACCTCTACAAGGCCAACACCCCTGTAAAGCGTGCACCTCTCTAATGCGATCACCCCCGTAAGGCGGGCACCTCTTCAAGGCGAAGACCCCTGTAACGCGGGCGCTGCTCTTAAGGCAAACACCCACTGTACTGAACTGTTTTCTTTTTGCAGGTCGCTCGTGCTCTCTTTGACTTTGAAGCAAAAGATGAAGACGAAGTGGGATTTAAGAGGGGAGATATCATTAAGGTTGTTGATACTAGTGATCAACATTGGTGGAGAGGAAAGTGTTACGATAAAGAAGGTCTTTTTCCAGCAAATTATGTGCAATCTATCACTACAAATTGAAATTTTCATGTGAAATTCCCCTTATAAAATCTGACATAATTCTTGGATTGTGGAAAAACTGTAAATGTTTATATGGTTCTTGATTAATTAGTATTTAAAGAACTAGCACTCACTAGCACTAGATTCCTTTTACTTAGTCATAGCCTTACTTAGTCATCGCCTTACACAGTTTTAGTTTTCGGGTCCAGTCCATTCCAGTCTTCGTTTTCAATGTCGGCCCTGTTGCGGCACGCCTTCCTACAATATAATGTACATAGGGATACATAGCAAGGCAAAATTTCCAGCAGCTCAAAACCCACTAAACATCGTTTCTCACCTATCACAGATTTGAACAGGGGGTTTTCTATTAACTATGGTGGATGGAAATGGACTGGAAAATATATCCGCCATTATAGTGTTGTTACACGAGACGATGTTTAGCGCAACATTTTTGTGTTAGAAGTTGACCTCGTATAACATGACGCGCGCGGCAACACAAATCTATGGCAACAATGTAGTGAGTTTGTGAAAGTTCGTTCCGGTGATGTTGCGCGAGACGATATTTAACGCAACATTTTTGCCTTCAGTGAAAGTTGGCGTCATGTAACATGGCGCGCGCAGCAACATTAATAGATGGCAACAATGTTGTGAGTTTTTAAAGTCATTCAAAAACCTGCAACTTGTATAATATATTTAAAAATCTTAACCATACTCACACGAAAACAAATTTTCGCGCGATCGTCCTTCTGGTGCCGTAACATCACCTTCGGAGATCTACATAAACCATGGCATACGTATGCAAAAACAAGACGGAAAATGCTTGATATTTTCAGAAGAAAACCCCATGATTTTAGTACAAACACCAGAAAGTTTTACACGCGTTAAACCAACCAAATCTTTGGTATTGGTTAATGAGGACGACTTATTAAATTAATGAGTGTCACACATTGTTTTCTCTCGCTATATAACTGACTCAAGATTTCTAATTTCTGCAAAGAATGCTGAACTCAAAAATATTGAATCAATAAGATTCTATAGATTGAGTATGTTGTACTTAGGTATCATAGTTATCAAAACCTTTTCTCTACGTGTAATTCAATATTTTTCAATATCCAAGCTTTCGGGCCACTTAGCCCATTGTCAGGGATTGAATGAAATTACGAATATGACATGGCAAACTGTACTCGGCCCTCTGTTCTCAATATCAGAGGGTCGTATTTTGATAACATTTTCACTACTGAAATAACGGTTACTGTCAATAAAATACTTCTGAAATCCCAATTTTAAACCACTTGCCGTAAAGGCATAAAGGCGGCGAACCGAATCTTCTCTTAGTTTGGGCGTGCAAAGCACCATATTTAGAGATGAAAGGCGGTTTTTATGGGCGTGGTATAGGTGTCTTCTAATTTCTCTTCAAGCTTATTTTACATTTGAATAAATATTTCACCATGGACACAAAGGTTTTGAAAGAAGCTAAGAATTTCCTGAGGATATCCTTGGTTGGAATCCGTTCAATAAGAAATTCTTCTTATTAAAGCTATGCAGTTCAGTGTTGTTTTTGTTGTTGTTGTTGTTTATTTCTTTTGTTTTTATCGTCTCCATGTGAGTCACACACCAACAGATGTGGGTGCGCCGGACCAAAGGTGCCGGCTGACTCTTATAGAGCTTCAAAAGGACTTATGGTAGTATATAAGGAGTACTACGGAGCAAGTCCATTCACTCGTCCTGAGCTGACAACTCTGGATTATAAATCACAGTTTTTAAGGAATTGCACAGATTTAAAACATCATTATGTCGCAGTCTAACTTCTTGAAATCCAAAGACCGTCATTTCGAGAAGTTGGAAAGCTCAAAAACGTATGCTGAGAAAACAAATAGTGGTAACGAGGACGAAGGCTTGACGAAACCCGAAGAATCTAGTAAGTTTGAACGCCCTAATATTGTGGTTAAAAGATGTTGCTTTAGATTTAATGTTAGTTTAGTTTTGATTGAGGCACCGGTTTATCATGGAATTTTATCAACGCCCCTGAATTCGTTGCTTGAACGTCCGGTTGGCCCGTTTCGGGTAGGTGTAGCTTTTACTTTTCATATGGATTAGTAGGAAAAAAATTAAAGAATATTAAAAGTATAGATAGAGATCTTGCATTTAGGGTCGATTGTTTTTAAGGACAAATCGAGCTAAGGTTAAGAATCGATTGAACGTCGGCCCGTTCGGGGGAGATGCAGCTTTTCCTTTTCATCTTTCATAGGGGTCAGTAAGATAAAACGATAAAGAATAAAAAAGTACAGAGATCTTGCATGTAGGATCGATTGCTTTTGAGAACAAATCGAGCTAAGGTTAAGAATTGAAGTTACACGGACACGGACGAGTTCTGAAAAGAAAAACAACACACGATTTTTGATTACTTGTTAATCAATTTACGTAACGTCTTCACCAACTGCCACTTAAACTTTAATTCAAAATGGTTTAATTAAAGCGCATCTTAAGGAATTGAGAGAATGGTTTGATTAATAAAGTTCGCATCTTAAGGAATCGAGAGAATGGTTTGATTAAAGTGCATCTTAAGAGTCGAAACAGCTGTACAGGGGCGGATCCAGAAATCGGAGGAGATCCAGGAACTTGGGAGTTAGAGGAACGAGCCTCTGTGACTAACCAAAATAAGAGAGGGCGCCCATTTGTATCTTTGTTCCTGTTAAATTCAATATAATTTCATATATTTTAGTTCCTAATGTTTTAGTAAGTTATTCCTCGAGTCTAATATTTATCTTTATAATGTAACAAAATTTGTAACTGTTATTAACCGACACATGAGAACAAGCCTATTTTGACCTATTATAAGGGGTCACTCATCGCAGGGTTCGTACTGCTAATCTAGATCATGAGCTTCTGGGATTTGTTTTCAGTTCCTCAGGGTACAGTTTTAAACCTTCCAGTTCAAAGAACTTATACGTTCCACGCTAAAATCACTCAAGTTGATGTTAGAGACACAAGTCTTGCCGTCAAAAGTACTGACAATGTTATTAGGGGCAACGCAATGAAGTTATTAAGTCTAAAAGCGAAGAGACTGGTGCTGACGGAATAGCTTTATGCCGTGGTTGCCCCTAATAACATTGTACTTTTGACGGCAAAACTTACGTCTCTCATAAATTTTCTCGTTTCATACTCAAGTGTATGCGAAGTATTTCAATCGCATTTTATTCAGAGGAGTACTTGTTTGAGGGGGGAAAACTTTTTTCGGGCCCCAGAAGAAATGTTCTCATAATTCCAGGAGTTTACATGCACGAATTCCAATAACAGTTGAAAGCCTGTCACATAAAGGGTTTCTAATAATTTTTGTTTTTAGTTTCAGAAAGCGACTCCGAAGTATTTCGTATGAGATCACGCAGAACGTACTTCACTACTCAGCAGCGAGAAGTATTGGAGCAGGCGTTTAGCACATCTCAGTATATTAATCCAAAGCTACGAGAAGTGTTAGCCTCATCGATTGGTGTTACTGACCGAGTAGTTCAGGTAAGTCTCATTAATGAATAAAAATTAAACAAAATGAAAAAGAAAAAAAAAGAAAAAATATGAGTGAATGGGATGAATCAGATGAATGCATGGATGGATGTAAATGAACGAAAAGTGAAAATAAAAAACCCTAAAAAATTCAATACTTTTTGTCGTAGACTTGGTTCAAAAACAGACGTGTAAAATGGCGAAAGGAACGAAGAACTCAGTTGAAAGTGTTTGTCGAGCCTTCACAGCCGAAGCAACAACCACTAGTATTGATGCCACATATTGCTTATGCACCAATGAACTACTATAGTCAACTGCGGCCCTACTATGAGCAAAGACAACCCACCACGACGTCTGCGTCTAACATGACTGCGACCTCAGGTTATCTTCAGAATGGATTTTTTGCGTGGGACAAAGATGCTTTCAACTAGAGAGGGGGAAGAAGACGAAATGAGGAAAGGAAAGGGAGCGGAATATGAAAAAGGGGGGGGGGG